CATTTGAGGAGAGAGAAACATCTTATTTTGCTGCAAGGGAAAGAATATTATCTTCTGATGCAAGGGAGACAAAAATGATGAAGGAGAGGCCAAAACATGATCCTGTGGTTGCCCGCCGTATGATAACTCATGCACTTGGCCATTCAGACAACGGGACACAACATGAGCCAAGTTCAAATGATGCTAAGGATGGAGCACAAGCAGCAAATGGTTTAAAATTCCAGAACGTGGAATATGGGAGGGACTTACGTGGTAGAGACGAGCTGGGCAAAAACTCTACTCCCAGGACATGTGAGACCTCAAAAGAAGGCTGGTCAAAGAATAGCATAAAAAGAAGCGATGATTGTTTGAGAAATGAACATATGGGAGCTGCCAAGAGATTGTTTGCTAATGCCCTGGGGATGCATTTAAGGGATGCCAATCTCCCAAAGTGCGATGGAACAAGGAATTCCAGTTACTGATATTTTCGGTAGTTTTGTATAGTTGGTGCATAAATGATAATTCATATTTGCTCTGTATTAATTACCCTTTCTTATTGTGCATTGACGGTCTAATAATTGTGGCAGATACAGATTTGGAAGCTTTCTAGCCCCTAGTATGACAAACAAACTGGTTTTTTGCAATCCTGCGACTCCTCTTGCGCATCATGGTAAGATTAACAAGCATTGTTCGAGTTCTAAAACATACATGCCTGTATTTTAGTGATTTCAAATAACATGTGTACGTTGGATTCCTAAAAATGTAACAATCACGGGAATATTTCTCGTCCAACTTTGCTTAAGGTCATACCTTGCTGCCAACTCATTTTAGAAAAAAACAACATAAAAATCAAGTAAAAATCTGTCTCATCAAAGAACTTAATGAAAAGTGCAGTATAGAAAATGATTTGATTTCTTTTTTTTTTATAAATGCATTGTTTTGTGGATGCGGTACGATGAAATGATCCATTTATTTGGCAGGAGAAACGAGTTACATGACTAGCACATGCCATATTCGCAACAATAAGTTTTGGCATATCTGGGCTATAATTGTCCATCATTTTTTAGTTTTTCAAGTTGAGAGCATTGTTATTTTAGAGTAATGCTCACCTACCCACGGTGGACACATGTTAATATGTCAACCGTTTATGTGGCACGCACACATTGACATATTAACATGTGCCCACCGTGAATAGGTGACCATTACTCTAACAGGATAATGTTCCCCTACCCACGGTGGGTACATGTTAATATGTCCACCGCTTATGTGGCATGCACACATTGGTGATGTATTTTTTTGAACATATTAACATCACTAATGTGTGCATGTCACATAAGCGGTTGACATATTAACATGTGCTCGTCGGGGTAGGGGAACATTATCTTGTTATTTCATTATGATTATTGATTATTCATTTACATATAAATTTGATACACCAAAATTTATCTCGTATTTCAACTTACCCAATTGAGGTATCCCTGGTTTAAAAAATTGGATCGGCTCCCGGTCTGGTCCTCACCCAAAAACTGTCTTGCAAAGAACCAGTCTTTGACCAGTTGGACCCATCAAAACTTGTCGGTCGAACCAGTTTGATTTTTTTTTAAAAGTTCAATATTTAAAATAATTTTTCTATTAAAAAGTACAAATTTCAAGATTTTAGATATGTACAAACAATTATATCAACTAATTTAGCTATTTAAGTATTTTAAATTAGCTAAATGTTTAATTAACGATGTTTTTTATATAAAATTTATTATATAAATATATAATACTATTAATAAATAAATATTGGTTCAACTGGTTCAATTGCTGGTCCAACCGACGAAATTAAAATATTAGCTCTACTAGTTCGATGATCGGTTCTATTTTTAAAAACTTCGTACCTTAAATTTATTTTGTTTATCGGATATAAATTTTCAGAAAATATGTGTTTGTGTGTAACTTGTACTAGTACAATATCCGTGTACTACACGAGTGTTGAGTTAAAAAATATATAATAAAAGTTATTGTTAAAATAAATTTTGTATTTAAATTTTTTGTGGACTAATTGATGAAAAAAAAAAAGATAATAGATAGTGCAAAAACTGATTTGTAAATATTTATTTAGGAGAGAAATATGAGAGAAAAATGTAATATTGTAAGATTGCTACTTGTCAAAACTAAGAGGAAGTGTGTACTAAGAGAAAAAATAACAAAATTAAATATACACTTACCAAATTTGAAAAAAAGTTATGTTTATTAATATATAAAGAAGTAATGATATTTACTTGAAATTGTTAGCATATTGGTATATTTAGGGTTGTATATTTGTTAGTATATTTTCCTAGTAGTAGGTGACTTGCTTGGCAAGTAATTCCTTGTAAATAATCTAGGTATTGTTGTGTATATATAGGTGATATAATAATATGAGGACACCACAATAGGGTGTGCATCTTCCCATATCTCTTCAATATTTCACGAACTTAACATGGTATCAAGAGCCGGTTAAAATTTTTTTCTCCTTTCAGACAAATTAATTTTTTTCTTTCTCGGCAACATATTATTTTTTGTTCTTTCTCCCGGCGGCGGCTCTTTCCTCACCCTCTCCCGGCGACACTTTCAGCAGCGGTCTCCTTCTTCGATTCAGTTCATTGGCAGAGTCCAGTAGCAAGACCGTGGCTCGAAAAACCATCTCTCCATACGATCTTTCTTCTTCGGATAACCCGGGTCTTCTCATCACCCATGTTCAATTAAAGGGTGATATAATTTATGATGAATGGTGTCGAAGCTTCCGCAATGCGTTGCGTGCACGAAAGAAATTTGGATTCCTTGACGGATCTACCCCTCGTCCTGATTCTGATGATGATCTTCTTGACGACTGGCTGGCGAACAACTCTCTTCTTCTTTTTTAGATAATGAATAGTATTGACCCACAAGTACGATCTTCTATCACTACACCCGAGTCTGCTCGCGATCTATGGTTGCGACTTAAGGAGCGTTATACTACCGTAAATGGCCCTAGGATTCAAGAATTTAAAATTGCTTTATCTACATGCAAACAACAAGGCAACACGATTGAGAATTATTATGGTCGATTGGTAAAAATTTGGGAAGAACTATCAGACTATGATAAACCTTTTCTCTGCAACTGTGGAAAGTGTGTATGTGCTCTTCAAGCCCTCTGGGATAAAAAACAGTGATGAAGAGAAAGTTCATCAATTTTTGATGGGCCTTGATGGACACTTGTATGGCACCACTCGCTCTCATATTTTAGCACTTGATCCCATCCCCAATCTCAATCGGGTCTTGTCCATGATGGTTCGCGAGGAACGGATGCGCACGACAAGCAATGAACAACCCCAAGTCATCACGGCCGGCTTCTTGATCAATGGGTCGGGGCTGTTGGGCGCGGCTCCGTCGAGCAGTACGACGGCTTTCTCCTCTCCAGCCGCTGCGAACACCACAGGCCTCGGGCTTCTGGGCAGCAACACACCACATGGACCTGCCGGCGTACAGGGCTCGTTACCGCAAATAGCAGGTGCAGCTGCAGTAGCCTCGACCACGCAATCCGGGACGACTGGAGTTCGATCGGTGACGAATCTCACATGATTTGGATGCGGGAAAAGGGTCACATTGCGGCGAATTGTTTTCAGACTCATGGCTATCCAGAGTGGTGGAGCTCGTCTCGTGGAGGTCGAGGTGGCCGTGGTGGCCGAGGCGGTCGTGGGCGTAACGGCGGTGGTTCCCACGCAAAGGCAAATGCGGCAGTTGACTCTTCCAATTTTTCTACTGGGCTCGTGTTGAATGAAATGGACAGGGCCGCACTTTCCGGGTTGTCCAATGCTCAATGGGAGTCCCTCGTCAACCTTGTCAATTCCGCTCGCACTAATACTCCACTTTCTGGTAAGCGTATTTCTATGGATTGGATATATGATTGTGGTGCTACACATCACATGACGAGTTCTCGGGATTCTTTTACTAATATTCGGGATATTCCGCCACGCTCTGTTCAGTTTCCTAATGGCACACTTACTACTGTTCGCCAAGCCGGAACATCACTCTTGGTTCTTTTATTACTCTTTATAATGTGCTTTATGTTCCTAGCTTTCGGTGTAGCTTGATTTCTCTATCTCAGCTGTTGGAGATTTCTGGGTGCATTGCTATTTTTTCTCATAAATTTTGCGTGATTCAGGACCTAACTTCGAAGATGGTGATTGGAACATGTGATCAGTTGGGGGGACTTTACTTCTTTCGAGGGACAGTCACTTCAGCGGCTACTCGGGTGAAGACAATGTCTCCGGATTTGTGGCATCGACGAATGGGTCATCCTTCGTCCTCGGTTTTAGTTTAGTTTCCTTTTGTTAACTCCAGTACTTTGGTTTCCAATAAGGCCTGTGATATATGTTTTCGAGCTAAACACTCCCGAGCTAGCTTTCCTGTTAGTCGTAGTGTTAGCAGTGCTTGTTTTGATTTGATACATTGTGACTTGATGGGGGCATATCGCGTTCCCACCTTTAGTGGAGCACAATATTTTTTACTATTGTCGACGATTTTTCTCGTGCCACATGGATTTCTTTATTGGATGATAAAACTGTCGTTTCTAATACTTTGCTCGCTTTCTTTGCTTTGGTAAAAAGACAATTCGGCTCCTTAGTTAAAGTATTCCGTAGTGACAATGGCACTGAATTTACTTTCCTTCGGGATTACTTTCGAACCAAAGGTATTATACACGAGACCTCTTGTGTCGGAACCCCTCAGCAGAATGGGCGAGTGGAACGGAAGCATCAGCATATCCTTAATGTTGCTCGGGCACTGCGTTTTCAAGCTCAACTCCCTCTTGAATTCTGGGGTCACTGTGTGCTTACCGCAGGCTATCTGATAAATTATACTCCCACTCCCGTTTTGTCTGGTAAGACTCCTTATGAAATCTTGCATCATCGGCCTCCACCGTATACCCATATTCATGTCTTTGGCTGTTTATGCTACGTACATAATCACAATCGTCAAGGTGACAAGTTTGCGAGTCGGAGTCGAAAATGTATTTTCGTTGGTTACCCGGCTGGTCAGAAAGGGTGGTGTGTTTTTTACTTGGAGGCGAGGGCTTTCTTAGTTTCTCGTGACGTGGAATTTTGTGAATCTGTATTTCCTTATATGGAGTCCTCTGCTCCTTCTGACTCTCCGGTTATTGTTGATACTTGGCCTGTTGTGTCAGATGATGATGATGCAACCCCGGTTATGTCAAGTGGACCTACCCGCCTAGTTCTGGGAATTCTGCTAGTGAGGAGGATATGGGGGGTAACCCTGAAACCCCCCAAACTGAGTTACTTGGTCGTGGCCATCGGGTCAAGCATCGCTCTTCTCGGCTCACTGACTACGTTTCTCATACTGTCTGTCCACCGTCCCCCCTGCTGACTCCTCGATTCGATCATCATCCTCAGGCTCTCTGTACCCTATTGCTCATTATGTTTCTTGCGATTCCTTCTCACCGGGACATAAGACATTC